CCTGTGATGGGGGGGCGGCCGGGATATAGTGGGTTCCGGTTTTCCCGACAGGGCTGGGGTCCGGCATCAGGTCTTAAGAGCAAAATAGTGGCAGGTTGCCCCCAGCTACCCAGAGCCTCTGCGGCCTGGGTGCCCACAGCCATCTTTCAGGCACTTGCCCTGCTATGCTTTGACCCTTCCTGTACCCTTGGCACTTACCTGCTGGCAGCTTGGCCCCACCGGCATCACTGGGAGTGGGCTGTGCCACTGTACAAGCCACGTCTGACTGGCGGTGTCAGGCTGTCGCAGCGACATGGAAGTGGGGTGACGAGGTCAGGTCCTGTGCTCCTTGCTGACTGAGGGCAAATCCCTCCCCACCTGCACCTGTTCTCTCTCCACCTTTCCGCCCTAAGCCCCCAGGCGTCCTCACTTATGTTCCTTGAGCCAGGTGTTTTAGATCTTTGTGTAGATGAGAAGGAGCGGAGGTGTGCTGGCCTTTGGGGCCTGGGAAGGCCATCTCAGACTGAGCCCCACCACCCTTTCCTGGCTTAGTCCCCACCGAGCTGACAGCTTGGAAAGGGGCAGTTGGGAAGTGAGTAGCGCACTCTGATAATGATACTGGTCAGGCCAGCGGGTTTGTCAGGGCTGCGAATCCTGCTTAGCAGAGCATATGAAGATCACAGTTCGGGGAAGCTCCCCTTGAGAGACCTGGAGCGAGACGCGCTGTGCGGCGGGTGACAGGTGGAACTCCAGCCGGGCCGGGGCTGGTGGCGCCCGCCGTAGGGCTCTCACAGTGAGTGGCTGTGAGCAGTGCCAGGCACCAGATTCTCCGCTTTTCATTTTACAGGGACAAAACCAGGCTGGGGCCCCCAGTTTCCTTGCCAGTTGAACCATAGCTGGCCACCAGATCCACCAAGCCTGGGGCTTCTCAGGGCTGTCCTTTGAATGGCTGCTCCTCCCAGGTCTGAACGAAGACATAGGACAATTCTGGTGACAGCCACAGCTGGTGGCTGCTTCCTTGTGTCACATGTGGACTGTCACCCTGCCCTCCCAGCGCTAATCACTGAGGCTGCGTGTCCAGAGTCATCATGTCCAGAGTCAGCTCCTGCACGTGAGGCCAGTTGGCCACACTGGGGCCGTGTGGAGGAGGACGCCTCTCACCTCCCGAATGGGCGTCTTTCCTGGGTGTCACCTGAGCTTAAAAAGCTGAGTTTGGTCTAGACATTCTAAGACAGTGGTTTCTTAACCTTTTCTGGGTCACAAAACCTCCTGAGAACCTAATGAAAACTGGATCCCAGCCCCAGAAAAATGCACCTGTGTGCACACACCCGGCAGTTTCCAGGTCATTTCGAGTCCTGCCTTCGAGGTCCGTTGTTATTATTTACGAAACACCAACCTAAGGTATTAGACATTTTCTTAAAAGGCCAGGCAGGGTGGCTCATGCCTGTAATCCCAGCACTTTGGGAGGCTGAGGTGGGTGGATTGCTTGAGGCCGGGAGTTCAAGACCAGCCTGGGCAATATAGACCCCATCTCTACAAAAAATACAAAAACTAGCTGGGTGGCATGCGCCAGTAGTCAGGAGGCTAAGGTGGGAGGATTGCTTGAGCCCAGGAGGCGGCGGTTGCAGTGAGCTATGATCACACCACTAGACTCTCTAGCTGGGGCAACAGAGTAAGACCCTGTCTCAAAAAAAATTTTTTTTTTCCTTTTTTTGAGACAGAGTTTTGCTCTTGTCTCCCAGACTGGAGTGCAATGGCGAAACCTCCGCTCACTGCAACCTCCGCCTCCCAGGTTCAAGCGATTCTCCTGCCTCAGCCTCCAGAGTAGCTGGGACTACAGTTGCCCGCCACCACGCCCGGCTAATTTTTGTATTTTTAGTGGAGATGGAGTTTCACCATGTTGGCCAGGATGGTCTCGATCTCCTGACCTCATGATCTGCCCACCTTGGCCTCCCAAAGTGCTGGGATTATAGGCGTGAGTCAGCAGCCCAGCCCACCCACTTTTTTTTTTTTTTTTGAGACGGAGTCTTGCTCTGTTGCCCAGGCTGGAGTCCAGTGATGCCTTCTCGGCTCACTGCAAGCTCCGCCTCCTGGGTTCATACCATTCTCCTGCCTCAGCCTCCCGAGTAGCTGGGACTACAGGCGCCCACCATCACGCCTGGCTAATTTTTTGTATTTTTAGTAGAGACGGGGTTTCACCATGTTAGCCAGAATGGTCTTGATCTCCTGACCTCGTGATCCACCCGCCTCAGCCTCCCAAAGTGCTGGGATTACAGCGTGAGCCACCGTGCCCAGCGAAGCCCACCACTTTTTTTTAATGAAGGAGTTTTTGTTACTGTCCTCCTTTGACAGGTAAGGAAGCTGAGAGGCTCAGAGATGTCAAGCAGCTCTGCCAAGGTCACACAGCATGTGCCTACCATGGCAGCCTAATTTGTAGACAGTGCAGACAGCCCCAACAGGACCAGGAGAGAGCTGTGCCCAGGGCCGGATTCGTCCCTCCACAGTGGAAGAGAAGCAGCCAAATATTATAGCCAGCCCAGCAACTTGGGCGGCAGAGATCTTTTACAGGAGGCCTTCCTGAATGGAGTGCCCTGGGGAAGCAAACTCTAAATGTCCTCGTACAAGAAGACATTAGGTGAAACCAGACTGACCATAGTGTCCCTCTCAGCACTGCCCTTGTCCCTGGGGGTCACCTACCGTCTTGCTCCCCTGCCCCCACACTCCAGTGGATACCACTGCTGTAATCAGGGAACCCTCTGAGCTCTTTTTATAGGAGGGCATTTCTGAGGGGCCAAGGAGCTGTGGATTGGAGGAGCACCAGCAGCACGGGGCATGACCCCGTTCCCGCCCAGAATCTGGAAAGTACCGTGTCAGGTTTGGGCTCTTCAGTGAAATGTGTCAAGCAGCGTCTTTGGCACTGGGCAAAGTTAGGACGAGGTGGTTTCCCTCTTGATGACTACAGCAGCTGTCTGTGGCTGGCCGCCCCCAGGAGCCTGTTTTGTTTGGGGTTTTTTTCTTAAATATTTTTATTAATATTTCGAACATACAGGAAAAGACAATTATTTTCCATTCATCTTGATAGCTAAATACCTTTAGATCTACACACCAAGATGAAGACCGCCTTGTGTCTTGGATAAATGTAACGAGCAGATGCAGGCAGCTCGCAGGTGCTCTGGGCTGAAGGAGTTGGAACTGCCGGGCCAGGTGGAGTGAGCCAGCACCGCTCAGGGGAGCTTCACCTCTCTGCTTCCAAAATAAATGTTTTCTGGAGTATCACCTTCACCGTCCTGGAGAGGGGTAATCTTACCTGTGGCGGAGAGAGCGAGGGCTGAGGGGGCACTGGGGTGGCATGAGAGGCCCAAAGACCTTGACAGACACGGTGGGCTTGGCAGCGGGGCACGGGGTTAAAGAGGAAGCTTAGCCAAGCCCAGCGGGAGTTGATTTGACAGCAGTGCCCTTAGCAGCTTGACTGTTCGGATTTTCAGGGCTATTGAGCTCAAGTGTACAAGCAAACTGGAAAGAATAGCTTTGTTGGGTTTTTTAAAATGATAAAAGCATAATGACAGCATATCCACTGCTTTGAAGGCGTCCCCCACCCCCGTGTTCTTTATCTCAGGTTTCTCCATCAAGGTTAATCTAATCCTGCTAAATTAACAACCAGCCAGTGCATCCCCAAAGAGCCTGTGGAATGTGCAGGGTGGTTCAGCCTCGGTGTTCTCTAAAGTACTGGCCGTGGGTGACTCCTTGCTCAGGGTGCAGAAGTTGGCAAGTGACGGGTGGCCCGGGGACCTTGCGTCAGGGTGTCCCTCTGCCCTCAGTCTGCTGTGTTTCACCCGGTCTCTGGTGAGCACATTCTCTGACTGCTTTGCGTGAATGAGCCAAGGAAGGGATTGATCTAGCTTACTGCCTCCCCCTCCCTTGAGTCAAGCAGAATGGGGTGCATGAGCACACCTACGGTGAGCGAATCTGTTCACCCTGTGCCAGGGCCATCCTTAGAGCAAGGACCCCGGGGATGTGTCCGTCCCCATCAGTGTCATGTTAGCAAGCAGTGACAACATCCCTTTGCAGGAGGCATCCTGAACCACTGTGTCCTCGGACAATGGCAGAGCCCAAGAGAACAATGTGCCCCACACCCCCACCCCCACCAGCCTCAGGAATCTTTGTCTTGTCCCCATCACAGCAGCCCTAAGACTCAGGGCACATGCGCCAAGCCTCGGGGTCCTCAGTGTCTGTGTGGGAAGCGGTGGGGAAGCGGTGAGGAGCTCCTGGAGAAGGCGGCAGCTTTCATACCGGGTGATGTTCTGACTCCAGTGTTCTCTCCCATCTCAGCACCCATTCTGCTCCCCAGTCAGGTTGGTTCTTTGTGGCTCAGATCTGTCACCCCTTAATGAAGTGGCTTTCTGGCTGCCAAGGATTGAGAGCTGCTACTGAGGAGTATAAGTCACTAATAGCATGGAAAACACTGTGAAATACTCCAAGGTGCCAAGCTGGGCCCAGCCCAGTGTGGTTCTAAAAGGCTAATAAAAATCCACCAATTAATTGTGACAGCTCAATGGGAAATTATTCAATTGTGAACAGGGGCAAGCTGCAGCTCGAAAGGAGGAGGGGAGGGGTTGCCATAGTAACATCAATGTAAGTTCTCATCTCAGCAGCGGAAGCCAGCCCGGGAGTGAGCAGCATCCGACGGCTGCCTCTGACACGGGATGGGATGCAGGAGACACCAAAGGCGCGTTTGAAACGGATGCTCTGCCTGGCCTCAGGCCTGCAGCCACTCCCGGCTGAGCGTGGGCTCTCCCCGGCGCAGAGAAATTGTTTTCCGAATGCTCCTCGCTCTTAGGAAACCTGGGAAGGAGCAGCCGAGTGGAAGTGAAAAGCACATGTATTGTGTTCCTCTGCACCTTTGACCAACTGCCAGTTACAGGGATCTAGGGGAGGGGTGTTTGGGTCCAGGCAACAGGAGCTCCATCTCCCCAAAGGCAAGGCACCCAGAACCCAGACTGTGGGGGCGGCCAGCATTCCAGTATGGTTTTGCAGTTGTCACACCTTTTATTTGAAAAGATACACACGACATATTCTGATTTTGAACAAATGAAATGCAGCCTTGCTATAGCAAAAACGTATTCCTTCCCAATGCATCTCCCAGGAGACCCCCGGCTGGGCTAACACTGGGCTGCGGAGGAGGGCCGCCGTCGGAGGGGAAGGCACACCACAGCAGGGGCTTCTTGCCAGGGGGATCTGGTGCTAAAGGGATGGAGAAGGGGATCGGATTCTTTTTTCCCATTTTTAACTTTCAGAACCATCCTCTGTACCCAGTGGAATGTACTCATTTGCACTCTGATGTCAGCTGCAGTTGTCCCTATAGACTGTCACAACTTTGATTAACCAACTGTAAGCCCTCAGCCCGCTGCCTGGCTCTGCTGTTCCCATTCATGGCCCAGCCACAGCCTCAGCTCCGTGCCCCTGGGGCCAGGGGGCTGCTCTGAGTCAGAGCTCCAGGGGAAGAGAGGCTGGGACGACCGAGGCGCCAAGACAGCCTCCTTTTTGACACTGCCTAGTTTTTCGCTTCAGCAAAGTTGGAAATCAAAAGTAAGCACACTCCTAACCTGTCCTTCCGTGGATCGTTCATCGTAACCGTGCCTACACCATCTGGGTGTCGTGGTCTTCGAGACTGGGGGAGAAGGCAGGAGTGAAGACAATGGGGTGAGTCCAAACAGCAGACCCTTCCGAGGCATCCTGGCCCTTCACCGCCGACCGAAGCGGAAGCTGAAGCCGCCTTTCTTCCTGCTGTAGCCATTAAGCTCCTCAGCCAGGTTCCCTAACGGGCTGCTGGCCTTCACCTCTCCGGCAGGGAGGAAGTCGTCGGCCTCACTGCCTTCATCCTGCCTCCCGAAGCGGAACCTGCAGCCAGCATGCTCTCTGCCCGATGTCTGCAGCCCCCTGGCTATGACAAGCAGGGCCTGTGGCTGTGAAGCTCTCAGCCACCGAGAGGAGCCCCACACAGAGTGGGGTCGGGGCCCCTCGGCCAGGTCGGCCCAGCTTTCTCTGGCTCCAGTGCCACCCATGGCGTCTGTGGGCTCTCTTCTGTCCAGTAGAGGAAAGCAGGTGCCCAGCGGCAGGAGGAGGAGGCAGACCAGGGGGTAGGACCTTACCATCTGACCCAGAGGAAAGAGAGGCAGAGTTACAAGCTGCACATGTGGCCAAGTGCAACTCACCACAATGTTTCCCCGGGACAGGCCGCCAGCATAGGTGTGAGCAGGGGGCTCAGCTGAGCCCGGCTTCTGAGCAATGCTGGGACTAGGCCACTGTTGTATTAGCAGGATCTGGAGGTGACTGTACCAATTAGGCCGGTTCTTTTCCTGCAGTCCCCACGATCTGCCTGCCTGGGCAGCTTAGCGCTGTAAATCCACTGCTGGATGGCAGAGCAGTGCCCAGGCGGCCCCGGGAGAGTCAGCAAATTTATGCTCATTTTTCTCTTATTATAAAATAGCCGTATCATTGCAGAACTGTGGGGTGGAAAGTTAAAAGCATCAATCTCCCTTAGTTTTCAACTTAATACTAAATGGGTCTAGCTCTGCCGTTTAGCTGGGACATCCTGCTAATGTCTCTTTCACGTGGGAACGAGTTGCTCCTGAAAGCCAGAAACAGATTTGATGGTCCTGGCCTAATTCGGACACCCACCTGGGAAGGAGCGTGCAGACGCCGCTGGGGCCTGGGCACCATAGGTCTGCCCGGCTCCGAGCTAAGAGCTCTCACGTGATTGTATTTCATCTTCTTAGTCATCCTGCTAGGTAGGTCCTGCCAGTCCCACTTTTTCAGGCAACAAAACTCAGAAAAACTGAGATTGTACCCAGGCCACACAGCTAGAAAGTGGAGGCTCTGAATTCACAATTGTAATGGCCGGACGGCTTCTTCAAGAAGCATACGTATCTGCTAGGTCCTCCCAACCCTCCTGTTTCGCAGGCGTGGCGTCAGGCTCAAACAGCTGAGGTGACTTGCCCCAGATCTCATGGCCTTACCAGTGCCAGAGCTGGAGTTCAGTCCCAGATCTAACTGGGCTTGACTCAGGAAGGCGTGCCCTAAGTCCCTACTCTGTATTCCACATGGCACTCGGGGTATCTGAAACCCATCCTCCTGGAATGAACCTGCCTTGGAAGCACTTGCTCCCTTGTCTGGCAAAGGAAGCCTTTTTGACAGTGACTGCGGGGGAGCTGGAGCTGGCTTGTCCTCTGCTGAGTCAAACTGAGGCTAGAATAGAGAGCACCGGCCCTGGAGAAGACAGTACGGGAGTCCCCAGAGCCCTTTCCAGAAATGGCTCCCTTGAACACATTTCAAAGAAGCGAGCTCAGCCAGGAAGCTTTTAAAAAAATAATAAACGCAACCCCACTTTCTACCCAAATCCAGTTCTAAGCTTCTCTCGTCCCCCAGGGATGGAGCGACCTCCCTCACATGCCACCAGGAAAGCCTTCCCATCAGGGCACAGAGTGGGGCTTCCACGAGGTGGTTTTCTGCAGGGGCCCAGCCCCATTCCCTCCTCATAGGAAGCACTTTGCTGACTGTGATGTGGACCGGGGACCGTTCCATCCTGGTGGATGAATCCACCTGGGAGTAGCCGCTGGGTGTCTAGAAAGGAGACACCCTGACACAGAGCAGGCCCTGGACCCCTTCATGCACCCCTTTGAGAATCTGGTAGAAACTGGGGGTGTTCATCACTGGAAAGGGGGCCCCAGCGCGAGTCACGGCTTCAGGCCCCACAGCCAGGAAGCATCAGGGAAAGCACAGGGGTGAGGCTGGGTCCCAGCCCTGGCAGGGCAGCCGTGACCAATCTGTGCTGCTCCGGGCTGTTGGCATGTGAGGCACTGGTGTTCCCTCTTCGGGTCCTCCCTCCCTGGGTGTCTGTGTGCCCTCTGACTGCCCGTGCCTGGCTCCTGCCCGGGCAGGGCCTGAGCTGCAGTTCCTGCTGGGGACAGGGCATCTGTGCTCACCGTGTGGCTGAGACTGCTCCCAGGAGGGCTGGCTGGTGGATTCTTGGGCTCCGGGGCTGGGCTGGGCAGAGCTGCTCTGGGTCCTCGTCCAGGAGGCATGGGCCCTGGGCTCTCCCTGCTTTATATGGCCCGCAGTGTGCTTGCCGCTGTGCCGACTGCCTGCTGCGCATTCCTGACCCTGGGATTCCATTGGGGACACCGGTGGTGAAGGGGGCAGTGCTGACTGCATTGATTAAACAAAAACCTAACACAGGATGTGGTCTGATGAGAGGGCAGGCGGGCTGCCCTTTGGAGGAGAGCAGACAGCATCATTAACTGCAAATTGCGGGCACAGACCCTTGAGTCCCTTGGTGGGGGTTCCAAGCCCACCCTTCATCACCCTAAGGGTCCTGTCTTTGTTGGGTCGGCCCCTCACTCTCCGGAGAGGACATGGGGTGGGTGGACGTCTACCCTCAACACACCTGCCCAGCTAGCAGGATGGCTCCCATGGGCAGGAAAGTCACAGAAACCCATGAGGCCCGTGTTTCAGAGGCACAGGACTGTGTGGCTAAGCCAGGTGCACCTCCCCGGCAGGTGGAGCCCTCGGCGGCATGTTCTCCAGGAACCAACCAAGGGGGCACCGCAGATGCCCCGGACAGCAGTGGAGCATTTGCCTGTGGCCCCCAGCCCCTCCTGTCCCATGCCCTGGGCAGCCCCGACTGTCGCTGAGGGTCACCTCTGGGAGGCCAGCGGGAGGACCCAGCCTCTGGTCCTTGCCCGGCAGAGATTCTCCCTCCACTGAAAGCAGGCAGGTTGGTGATGAGGCGGCCCCACCCCACCACTGTCGGAAACAGCACACAGGACCTCCCCCAGTCCAGGGGCCCTCACCCAGCTGACCTACCCCTGCATCTGGGGTGCTGGGGGGTCAGAAGTCATGGGAATAGAGAGCCTGTGGACACTTCCCCAGTGACCTGAGGAAGGCGTTGGAATCTCAACCCCCACTTCGGGGCTGAGCGCCCAGGTTCGAGCAGAGGGTCTGTGGATTGAAGCTGGTGACTGAGCTGTGCTGGCCAGAACCGGCTTCCATCCCCCAGGCCGGGGCTGCCTCCGATGGCCTGAGGTGTCCCTGTCCTGTGTGTGTGTGTGTGTGTGTGTATGCACCCACGTGAGTATGTGCACACGTGTGTGTGTGTATGTGTGTGCTCGTGAGACGGTGTGGTGTCCTTCTGTCTCCCTGGTTAGTGCTGGTTGATTCAGACAGCAAGTGCCGGTTATCCATGGGGTGCCTCCCAGGGTGGGTCCCTACCATGCTGTGAGTCTGAACCGGATGCCTGCCCTCTGGGTGCCTCAGTGCCCTGTGGTGTAAAATGAGGTTCGGGTTCCCAAGCTGTGCTTTGCAGAATTCCTCAGGAATGGCCATGGAAGTTGGGGAAGGTAACGTGGGGTCTAACCCCGCAGGCATCCCTCTGTCCCACAGGCACCCCTCTCCCCTACAGGCCACCCCTCTGTCCTACCGGCACCCCTCTGTCCCAAAGGCCACCCCTCTGCCCCACACAGGCACCCCTCTGCCCCACAGAGGCACCCCTCTGCCCTGCAGACACCCCTCTGCCCCGCAGGCACCCCTGTACCCCACACGCACCACTCTACCTCGCACGCGCCCCTCTACCCCTCAGGCCAAGCCCCACTTTCCTGTGTGTGACATGTTGGGCTCCCAGAAAAGATTCTGCTTTGAAACCACCAGGCCCAGAGTCCTCTTTCAGGTCTGAGGTCTGTGGCTCTGAGTGGTGACCACAGAACGTCCTGCATGTGAGGGGCGGGTCTGGGGTGGGAGTGTTTGAGGGGCAGGTCTGGGATGGGAGCAATGCTGGGGGTGAGGATGAGGGTCCCCACATGGCCCACATGTTCCCCAGCCTCAGGTCCCCGCCTGCCCCCATCAGACCGGGGTGCCTGGAGCCCAGTCAGGTGTTGGATTTGGCACCAAACCTGCCGACTCCAGGGGCTTGCCTGGTCCCCTCCACCCCTGGAACTCCCGGACAGAAAAATTGCTTTCAGATGCCCTTCCTGGGCCCCTGGAAGCATCTGGGTTCCCCCACCTCTTGAGCAGCTGGGGGATGACAACTGTGCCACTGTTTCTGCCACCACAGCCCAGGTGGGCAGGGTTGGGGCTGCCTGGGAGCACAGGGTGGCCGGGGCTAGAGCAGTCCAAGAGTGGCAGTACCCATCGGGGCGGCTTCCAGTGCTGGAGACTTTTCATGCTGTCGGGTAATGCAGGGAGGCGAGGTGCCAGGGTGGTGGGGCTGGTGGTGCAGGAAGCCACTCTGGGGGTGGAGTCAGTGGGCCACCCTCAAAGCCTGTGGGGTTCCCTGGGAAACTGTCCAGACACAGATCCAGGCCAGGTCCCCGCACGGCCAAGCTGACCAGCAGCGCCTGCCCAGGATTCTCAAAAGTGAGGAGGCTGAGACTGGGGTGACAGTGCCTGGTTGTGCTAAGCTCAGGCCCTGGCTCGGCTCACCGACCCCTCCCTTCCAGCCCCCTTTAGCCACATGTCACTCCCAAACTGGGTTCCACACCAGACTCAGCCACAGCCAACCTCCACCTCACTGAGCTTCCGATTCCCCGCCTGGCTGGGGATGACCGCAGTGCCTGTGTGGTGGGGTGGGGTTATCGGGGTGGCATGGTGCCCTCTCAGGCGGTGTTCACTGCTGCTGGGGAGGGCACAGGGTGGTGGCCCCCAACTAAGCCCGGGTTCCCGGGGCTGTTGGCAACTGCCACTCCATTTCTGCCGGCTGAACCCCTCCTGCCCTGGGGAGCCGCTTCCCACGCTGCTGGGCACCATTTCTTGCGTAAATGCATGGATCCTTGTCTGAGGACCTCTGTGACTGAGTCCTTGAACCTTTCCAGGAGCTGCCTCAGGCTGGTCTGGTGGTTGCGGGAAAGGAGTTGAGTTGGGCACACCTGCACCTGGGGTTCGTGTGGCCTATGGGAGGCAGGTGGCCATGATCTGTGACTTCTGAGGCCTGGCTCAGGAGTCCCATCCCCAGAGTCTCCACCTCTGCCCCTCCCACCTCTGCCCCCTCACCTCTGTCCCTCACTCTTCTACCCGCCCACCTGTCCCCCCACCTCTGCCCCTCCCTCCTCTGCCCCCGACTCTGACTTCCCACCTCTGCCCCCTACCTCTGCCCCTCCCACCTCTGCCCCTCCCACCTCTACCCCTCCCACCTCTGCCCCCTCACCTCTGTCCCCTCCCTCTTCTACCCGCCCACCTCTGTCCCCCCACCTCTGCCCCTCCCTACTCTGCCTCCTCCTCTGTCCCCACCTCTGCCCCACCTCTGCCCCTCCCACCTCTGCCCCTCCCACCTCTGTCCCCTCCCTCTTCTACCCGCCCACCTCTGTCCCCCCACCTCTGCCCCTCCCTACTCTGCCTCCTCCTCTGTCCCCACCTCTGCCCCACCTCTGCCCCTCCCACCTCTGCCCCTCCCACCTCTGCCCCTCCCTCCTCTGCCCCCACCTCTGCCCCCCTACCTCTGCCCTCCCTCCTCTGGCACCCCACCTCTGCCCCCTCAAGCTGTCAGAGCAGCGGGCACTATGCTGGCTGAGTGAGAGTCCGTGGTGGAGGGAAGAGAGGGATTCGTGTTCTGTGAACCCCAACTTGGAAACCTCTGGCTGCACAGGGGGGTGTGAGACTCCCCGGCTGCCTGCCCCCGACAGGTGTCGGACGGAGGCCGAGCACAGGGCATCACCACTGCTGCTCTTTCTACTGGCCCCATGCAGTACCTCCAACACAGGCACTCAATAAATATTGGATTTTATTAAATAAACTCCGGGGATTGTTTTATCTGTAAGCCTCAAATTGGTTTTATGAATAAATAGCCACTGGGGACTGTTTGTTCTTAATAAAGTGTCTCAGTTCCTTGGAACTCTAGGCCCAGCCACAGGAGGGACCCACGGGATAGTTGATCACCCCGGGGACCCGGGAGGGATGCGCCGATGGACCAGGCCCCGGGAGGACCAACCCCACTGGGCACAGCTTGTGCAGGAGGCAGGCCCTGCGTCCGCCTGACCAGGCCCAGGCTGTCTTTGCAAAGCCCAGAACTGGCCCAGTCAGAGGGTCTTGAGCAGCCCCGGTGGGTCCAAAGCTATCTGGGAAATGCCTTTTGGTTGCTCTAATAAAAATGGTGGCTGGGTGCGGTGGCTCATGCCTGCAATCCCAGCAGTTTGGGAGGCCGAGGCGGGAGGGTGGCTTGAACCCAGGAGTTCAAAACCAGCCTGGGCAACATAGCAAGAGCCCGTCTCTACAAAAAGTAGAAAAACAATTGCTGGGTGTGGTAGTGCGCACCTGTAGTCTCACCTATTCAGGAGGCTGAGGTGGGAGGACCGCTTGAGCCCAGGAGTTTGCCGTGATTGTGCCACTGCTCTCCAGCCTGGGTGACAGAACAAGATCGTCTCTAAAAATAATGATGGGGGGAGTTCAGGGGAGACAGAGCAAGAGGCAGTCCTGGAACACCTGGGTATCTGATCCACTCAAGCTCTGACATGAGGCGTGGAGTTGGGCTGGAGGCAGAGACCGGAGCCGGGTCACCACGAGACTTTATTAAAGACAGAACGCACAGACACCAAGCACCCACAGCCTCTCCTAGCGACGCTCCCATACCAGGCTTCTTCCACCAGTCACTGTGCTGGCCCTCTGAGCTCCCTCTGCAGCCCTGTCCAGCGCTGTGTGGCCCGAGACACACACCTGCCAGCGCATAGGGGGCCAACGTGGCCAGCCTTGGGCCAGAGCTCCCCCACATTCCCCACAAATCGCACCGAGGCCTGACCTCAGCCCTCTGGGTTTGCCAAGTCCTGCCGGCTGCTTGGGCCACACAGTTTGGGGACACCCTTTTCTCTGAAAGCAGATGAAGAAATGGAGGCCCTGGGGAAGCCCAGTCTGCTGAGGTCAAAGCTTAGTGTCCTGTCTCCTTGTTGCGGGTTCTGTGTGTCCTCTGCTGGGTCCTCCTGCTGGGTCATTGCTCCTGAAGTCACAGGACAGGGGTCTGCCGCTGGCCACGGGCCTTCTTCATGTCCCCTGTCCCCCCATCTCACACAAACGGTACCTCCCCCTCTTCCTTCCCCTCCCTGGACTCAGCGTCCTCATGGTTTGAGATGGTTCAACAATCCTCCAGATCTCTGCCTGGTCAGACCCGCCCCTGGGTGACAGGGCCTCCAGAGTCCCTGGCTCCCAGCTTCCAGGGCTCTGGCCCCAGCCAAGCCAGCCAGAGGCCTGTGTGGAGGAGGATAGGTGGCAGGAAGGGTAAGGGGGACCAGGAAGAGAGGGGCACTGGTGGTACAGCTTTTCTGCCAAAGACAAACATTATAAAACCGATTTACATGCAGTTGCAGGGGAAAGCCGTTTGAGAACGGCTCGTAGCTCTGTTCCTATCTCCGGCTGAATGTGCTGAGGCCACCAGCATGGAAACCAAGGGTCCTTCCATCCTCTGGACCCTGGTGCTCAGGCAGTCAGCTGGGTGGCCTTTGGTGTGACTCTCTGAGATGTGTGCGAAGTTTAGGGGAATGGAGGAAGGCCATTGCTGATCCACAGAACTTGCCTGTGCACGTGGAGAGGCAACGGCGCAGGTGCACCGCCTCCAGGTCCCAGTGTGGCAATGCAGAGACCCCTCCCACTCAGCTTACTCCCCTCAAGTGAAGAAGCAGGAGGAGGCTCAGTCAGGCGGCATTGTGGGATGGAGGGCCACAAGCACCCGCCCTCAAATTGGGCCCCGGGGGACAGGGTTTGGGGCCCATGGGTCCCAGGCGATCCTGTGCACACGCCAGCCCTTGGCCTGGTCAGTCAGCCCACAGGTCTCCGGCTGTCCCTCGCCCAGGGCTGTCCTAGCATCCCCGTCCTCCAGTCTCAGATGACAGACAGCCATTTGCACTGGTGTCAGACTGTAGGCTCTGCAGGGCTAGGGTGAGAGGCTGTGGCCCAGAGCAGGTGCGCAGGGACCGTTTTTCCCCAGTGCCAGTCTTTGAAGGTGCCCCTGGGGAGGGTGGGGCCAGTGCACTGGCTTGGGCCCTCCCCACCATGTC